ATCAATTTCTTTTATTAAATGTGTCAATTTTATTACATTTTACATACACTTTATAAGAACAAATAAAAGTAAAAAATCAAAGAGAAGTTACATGATATATATAATCACGTGACACTGGTGTTGACCACCAGTGGTGGTAAATAGTAAACTTCTATATTTATTTATTTTAATTATTATTTTTTTTTCATTTTTAAAATGATTTATTTATAGGAAAATATATGAAACTTTGTATCCTATATTTTCTCAGTGTGAAAAATATAATGTAAAGTCCAAATTATTTATAGTCAAGTATTATTATTTAAAAATATAATAAATTTTTTGAAAATATTTTTTATTATATAATATCAAATGATAAATTAAATTTAACTAATAATTAATATCTTTAATAATTAGAATACCTTATCTGAAAATTTGATTAAAGAATCAAGAAGGTTGCATAGAAATCTATTTACACAAGGAGATATATGATATTTATCTGATAAAGATTTTTAATTTATAAATCAGCGTCAATAAATAATTATATTAAAAGTAAACCAAATCTTATTTTACTAATACTAAATGATATTGATAGAGCTGTCAACTTGAACGTTTTGAAGAATTTAAAAAACTTTAGTTTTAAAATTAAGGATTTAGAAGAAAGAATCATAGAATTAATAGCAGTAGCAATAGCAATACAACCACCACCATCAAAACTATCATCAGCAGTAACAGGAAATTTGGAAGACTTAACCAAAATATTGCAGAATATATTGAAGAAATTATGCCACCTCAATTTTTACAATCAATGTTAATCATACGCAAAGATCAATTGCATAAATATAAACTACATAAAATAGTTTTGCTTAAATATAATAAATATATTCAAGAAACTTGTCAGGTAGTTTATGATATTTCCAATAAACTTTTAATACATATTTCTTATTCTTATATAAAAAATATCAAGAGGAAGAGTAAAAATTCATTTCTTTCTTTTAAAAATAAATTAAATGAATTATTACTGAAATATGCAGAAGAATTCGAGTTTGTAGAGGATAGTCAGAAAAAGCAACTCCTTCACCATCACCACCACCATCATCAGCATTAGCAACAGTAATAGCAACAATAAAATAAAAAACAATTAAAAGCTTCAAATAGAAAAAAATTCGTTATATGAAATAAAAATTATTTGAAGAATATCAGGAATTTAAAAAAGAAAATCCTGATAATGAGAAATTAGATTTAAAGGAATATCCTCTGGTTGAAATTAAAGTGGATCAAAAAATAAAGATCTTAAGAGTGTGAATTCCTTTTTTTTGTATTATAACATGCAAAATTTTAAAATAATTGAAAGTAATATTTTGTTAAATTTATTTGATTTATAATTTATTATGCTCATTTAAAATTATTTTTAATATGACAAATTTATTATATAGAAAATTACCATTATGTAGATGAAAATAGTGAAATGTTATTTTGATTATTCAAAAATACCTAAAGAAAGGATGGATTTAGTTACGAATGCAGATAGTGCAATTTAATCATATTGGACTTATATATATAATGATCTATCTCATGTTTCTCCAAAATTTAAGAGATTTAATTATTTATCTTCAGGTATCTTATCAGATAATTTTGTATTTTTTTTTTTGCGTAAGCATTTAAAAAGCTTTAAATTTTCTTTATTAATAATAAGTAGAAATAATACCAGCATCACCATCAGAAGCAGTACTAATAATACTAACAATAGCATCAATAGCATTAACAGCATCATCAGTACCAATAGTACCACCACTATCACTATCTGGAATAGTAACAGCATTACCTTCAGTCACAAGAACCCAGCCATTTACACAACATTTTGGAATTTTTCATAATAATAATAAAGTAGTTTATCAATTCCAAGATTATGTTTGTGGAAATAAAAAGGGAAAATATGAAGAAGATTATCTGAATTATTCATGGTGTGTAATTAATTTTTTTTTATTATTTATTTATTATTATTACTTTGATATTATTGATTTTAATATATATTTAATTTAATAGTTGTGTTGACGAAATGCTATATGATATCAATAAATTAGCAGATTATATTTCAGATATAATGGCATTTTATTATCCGTCAATGTTTAATAATTAAAACCAATCTAACACATCATTATTTGCATCATTAATATTTATAATCAAACGAACTCATATATTCTGCAAAGTAATAATAAAGTAAGTTAGTTTATTGCTCAGCTAGTTTCTCTAAATATGTCATCACGATGTTAATCAATTTTTCCACCTTTATAGATATTTTAAAATAAAACGAACATATTACTTTTCTTGTTATATATTGGTATTTTGATTTTTACCAAAAAATCTTTGACGTATAATAGGCATAGTAAAACTATTCACATGAATCTTGTCATATGCATTAATATCATGCTTCTTAATAAAACTTGACGCAGTGTGTTTATAAATATTATCACGTGCTAAATTCTTGATATTTGACGCAGTATCATACCAGTAATAAAAAAATCAAATTACCTTTATTGTAATACATTAAGTAAGTAGAATGGAACGTTATGAAAATTAATATTAATGGTAAGTGTGAATTAGAAATATTTTTTTATCTCAGTTGCTAATCTATTGAATTTATGCCATAGATTCGAAATTACTTAATCTTGGAGAAGTTTTATTGCAAAAAATATTATTTTAGACAAAAATTTCATAGATATAAGTGGGATAATTTATTTCATATAATAAAAGAGTATAGAGATATGAATCTTTTAGTTAGTAATAGAAATAAATTAGTTGTAAAAATTTATCAAAAATGTGAAAGAGCAAAGAAATAACTTGATACTAGAATTCGTATTAAATGGTCTAAGATCTGCATACTCCCTCCCTTTTGATAGCATCATACATTTCATTAGCTTCTCTAATATTTTTTCTATTTTGTTATATATTTGAAAAAATAATAACAAAGCTTCACTCATTAAAATAATATTAATTGAGATAGCAAATGAAAGATATTTACTATAGAGGTATAGAATATTATGGCGACATTTGAGTTGCATCAAACTTTGAACTTTCATTTCATATTGTAAGTTAAAGATATAGAAAAAGGCCAAAAAAAAATATATGTCATGTTTGAAAAAAAGCATAGAAAGCATTGAAGCGTATCTATCTGATCGAGCATACTCTTTACGATCAGACTCCTAAAGTATAGTAATAACATTCCCGCTTATCCAGATAAATGACCTCAGTTTTTTCCTGATCTTCAACTTAATATCTAGCAAATGCTTACATAGGGATTGTGTATGAAAACGTCTGCAGAATACAAGCGACTAATCTTAGTTTTTTTTATTTGAGTAAACCAACTATGCTTTAAAATAAAGAAAAAAAATTTTGTCAGACAATTTATTATTGATTAGTGATTATTAACTAATAAGTCGATCACATGATTTAATTTTTTATACGCATTTTATTATGCATTATTATTGCTATAAACATTTTTGATCTTTTTCTTTATAAACATTATTGCTCAGTTATAAAAATGAGAACAAACGAGATTTGTAAAGAACAAAAAGATTTCTTAAAGAATAGTAAAGATCCTCGCTTAGCAAACTTCTTCATAAAGTTCAATTATTATAGTAATAAATTAGGTATTCAAGATTATGACTTAAGATTGAGTAAAACTTTACAAGATGTATCAGAATTAGAGAAACTATTAGAATTAAAAAGAAGATGGAAAGCTGACGACTATGGGAAAGATTGAAATTATTATGAAAACGAAAAAGAGAAATAAAAAGCTAATGTATATAAATTTTTTATTTAAACTTAAGAAACTGAGATGAATACTTACAAAGCTAACATCAAATCATAGAGAAAGTTAAGAAAAGAAAATGTAAAGCATATGTTGCTTTTCACAATGATTTAGATAAGAGACTTGATGCTATGGCTTCATCAGTATTATTTTGAGATTGTAAAGATGAGAATGGAGCTTCTTCATCTGGAATTATCAATAATCAAAAGAAGGTAAGTATTTTAGTCATTTTATTGACTTGTCTTCATGAAATAATGTTATTTTTTGCTGACGCAGAATGAAAACTCAACTAGCAATGAAATTGATGAAGAAGTTGATGAGATAAGCAACTTGTAACTATTGTAGACTAAATGTGATTTTGTTCTGAATCTAATTTGAAACATTTCCAAATCAAAATTCTGATTTCAGTTTCTCAATCAGAATTATTAATAAAGTGATAAATTTTTAGAGATATCAAGTGTTTAAATCGAATTTATGAAAAAGTCTGTAATGATAACATTAATACTAATATTTTTCATTGATTCAGAAACAAACTAATGAAAACCTACCTAATAATAAGGAGAACAAGGATATCAATGAAAAGGAAAAACTTAATAAGGCAAGTAATTGTGTGTTTATGTATCAATATATAATAAACAAATATGTGTGTAACATTATTGTTTTTTTTTCTACCACGCAAGTAATAACAGATATCTTAGAAAATATTATTAAGTATTCGAAAACAGCAGAAAAAATTTGTTTTGTATACATAGAAAAATATCCAGATAGTGGATCGACTTCTGTTTAGGTTCTCCCTTTCTTGAAATGCTTCCAAAATCGATAACCAAGTTGTATTTAATAGAAATAGATACAATAACTAAGTCATTAATTTCAAACGATGTTTACTACTTCCTTGTGACATATTTTCGCAATCCATTTAGATGCTGAATAGCAAAACAAAGTTGATGACCTAAGAACCCCAGATGATAACAACTCACTAATGCCTGCAATAGTATGAATTTTATGTCGTATACTGCCTCAGTTGTATGTAGTTATATTGATTCATTTTTTCAGTTTCTGTTCTATTTTTTTCTTTCAAATAGCATTAAGGCTTTCTCTCTTAGGTCACAAACCCACTTCTAAATATTACGACAATAGAATAAACATATTTAAATACATTTATTCATCTATGTTTCAATAGCATATTATGAAATATATCGAAGATATATTACTAATATAAAGAAATTTCATCTCGAAACTATGTTAACAAAAACTGCGCAGATGATGCTGATTTTATAACCAATACTAATAAATTCCAGCTTGTATACGTAAAAGGTTTAAGATCAGTCGCGAAACAAAAAAAAGAGATTTCTGATAACAAAAAAAATAATCAATAACCTAAAAAGTTTATTTTCAAAGACAGTAAAAGAACTAGTCAAAACCCAAAAACGCTTACCAAAGAAGTTTTTCATATTTAGCAAGCAGAGTTTTCATCTCCAACTTTATTTATATTATCTTGATTTTTGTGGTATATTTTTTTCGTCAAAGGGTTAAACTATGAAGAAGTATTGATGATTTATTGTTAATATCAATTTAGAAAAGTATTGTTTAAATGAAGTAGATAATGCTAATTTACCTTGTGAATTTTCTGAAATACAGAATTTCGTATACTTTTACGAACATATATTGAAATAGGTAGTAAATGTTAATGAAGGTTATTTGTATTATAAAGTTAAATATCCACTAATATTATGCCTTATTTATATTTTAGTTGTTAATTCAGGATAATATAACTTCCTTCAATAAAACAAGAGTCAGGAAGAGGCTCTCGAGAATATCATATGCAGAAAGCTTATTTTAATTAGATGAAACAGCTTTATAAAATTACAGATTTGTGTTTACGCACGTGATTTATATTACTTATTAATTATATAATTAATTAGTAATTCACTTTCTTACACATGTTTAAAGTCAATGAATATGAAGAGATTTTTGTTGTTTGAATTAAGTGTTAAATCACCCAAAGCATTGTACTGTATATGCAATTTGTATTCTAATATTTTTTTTCAAAAATTAGCTACTATGTAACTGTAGTACATATATCAATAAAAATAATAAAAATATAGCTTTTTTTACGAATTTTAGAGGGATAAAGTTCAAGAGATCATAAATAATTTCTCTAAGCAGAAAATTGAGTTCCCAACTCCTAAAAAAATAATGGCGACTCCTTGGTTCATATAGAATATTTTGCTTTGAAATATTATTATGTAGAACATCACAATTATATATTGACTTGAGCTGATTGACTATTAATTTTTCTTCTCTTTAGACTAGAGTTCAATGTGATAGACATCCTCAATAATTGCAACACTAATGCAAAAAGATATCTATAAAATTTTGGCTAGGATCCCTGTCAAAATTCAGCTGTAAGCATTCCAATCCCAACAACACCTATTCCTTTATTTTATGATTCTAATTCTTCAGGAAAATCCCAAATCAAAAAGAGTGAGATTATAATACGATGGAGATTATTATGAAGAGGTTTCATATGATGAAGAATACTATTATAAGATAAAGGATATTATTATTATAATGGAAGATATGAAAGGAAAATCTCACCAATGACAAGCCCAATCATCTCTCCAGTATATGCTTAAGAAAATTAAATGGATAATATAATTTAATCATAAACTGATCACCTAAAATGTGTAGTATTATATTAGGAGCATAAAGCTTGAAGGAAATCTTGCTGAATTAATAAGGTTTGATTTTGGTTTTTCTATCTGCAAAAAATATCATGCACAGAAACATCATTGGTTCATGTGAATTATATCTGCAGAATATGTTATAGTCACTTACATTTGCAGTCATTATTTTTAGAGGATCTATTAATAACCCTGATCAAGAAAATTATTTCTGTTATTTTTTATTATAAACTTTTCCTAAAGTTCTGATATGTTTTTTCACTTATTGCAGTTCTGAATTACTAAATAAAAAATCATATCTCTGATTTACATTCTACAGATCATAAGATGAGGGCGTCATTAAAAAGAAATTCAAAAATAGAAATAGAGCTGATTAGAATTAATGATTTACAGATCTTTAGATAAATGGTAATTTTTTATTTTCCTACTGATGTTAGCGCATTCAAACTACATGTATAGATTACTCAGACATTAATTCATTTTTAAATTAGAATTACTGATACATATGTGATTCGTCATCTACAGATCTCAATTCATGATGAACAAATATTCTAATTTTTTGTGATTACAATTAAAATAAGGGTTATGAACCCAAACAAAGATACATCACATGCAATCTTCTATTTCATAAGAAATTTTAGAAATAAATGGAAAATTTTTAAATATAGCATTACTCTATTAATATTATATCAAGTTGTCATAAACTGTAATTCGTCAGATTTTATTTTAAGCACTATTGTTAAATTCAGGGAGGAACATTTGTTATTATTAGATAGGATCCAGACCATTATAATTGAAAAATATAATTATAAAAAATATAGTTATGACAAATATATATAATAATTAATAAAGCAACATAATTTTTATTAAATCAGGTTAAATTTTCTTTTCACGCATAATAAGCATACAATATAAAATAAACCTTTTTCTCAACGCATTTACGCAAGAGATTGCATATTAAAAAAAATCAATTGTTAATATCTAAAAAAAACTTGATTCACCAATAAGATCTTTTAATAAAATTACTACACCTAATTATGTTCAGTTTATCATTACTCAACTCTTCAGGAGTCATGCCTTTTTTGATCTTAACTGCTGTTTTTTTGTTCATTGGTCCAGTGTTATTCATAAAGATCGCTACTATGTGATCAAATCTCAAACAAAAAATTTTCGATAAACTTTCTGCACATATCATTAGAATCATCAATGATCTTGATACAAAAAATAACATACTGAAAGAAATTGAAAAGACCTTTATTGAAATAAACAAAAAGTTTATGATAGAATTCAATACCAAAATCTCTAATAAAGTCACCACACATCTTTCTAAAATTAATGCATCTTTCACTGCAGAGCTCAGCAGAATTAATACTGAGCTTAATAATAAACTCATTGCAGAAATTGAAATTTTTAAGGCATGTGATACTAGCTATACTACAGAAGCACAGAAAATATTAGAAAGACTTAATAAAATTGAGAAAGCCTGCTATAATGACTTTGGTAGTATTAGATCCCTAGTAGAATCTGTTACATCCAGATTCATGTCAATTAATGTTATTATTAAAGATCTTTAAAACAAAATAAATTAATATTACATAGTAATTCAAAGATCTGATTTTGATCAACTAAGTGTATCCAATAAATCTAAAGCTAATTTATCTCTAAGCTCTTCTTCTTCTGGAAGTTTCAATTTATCTGAAATTTTAGATATTACTTCAAACATTAAAATTTACTTTAAATAATACTTTGATCGACTTATGAAAGTGAAGAATTATACTTTAATAAAATGTACTTCTTGGTAATAATTGATATTCGTAGTCTTAGAGGAAATATTAAGACTTTAACAGTGAAAAATTTTTATAATAGTGTTAGTGGTAGTAAAGTTAACACAATTAACAGATAAATGCATAGGTAGCTAGTTTTAATAATAATGTAAAGTAGTGAGAAGGAACCACCATATTTTGGCTTAGGGATCAGTAGAAAGCATGATATTATTTTATTTTGTGCTTTATTCCTTTCTTTAAACAAGATCTACTCTATTATCTTTTATTAGTTTCATTTTTTACTTAGCCGGCTGAGCTCTTTCTTATGTATTACTTTACAAAAATATAATAAAGAATTTACTTTGAATTTTTAAACGTGTTTTGTATTTTCAAGTATTATTTATTAATTATATTTGTTTATTAATATAGCTATAATTGTAAAAAAAAAGCTAGAACATTAAAATATTATTTTACAGTTGCTAAACATTATACATATAATATTAATAAAAAAATATTCTATTTCTTATTGTTCTTCTGAACTGCTTCCTTTTCCACTGTAATTAATAATAATATTAATCACCTTCGCACTTTGAGAAAAAGAGGAAAATGTTAGAGTGACAGGTCTAGAGACTATAAGAATCTCAGTAGAAGGTATTACAGGTCTTGATGATTTGATTTGTTTATATGAAGAGGAAGAAGTATCAGACCCAGTTTTAAGAGAACTAGGTGTTGGGAGTGTTGATTGAATGGTTATATTAGATAGTGTTGTAAAACGTTGTGATCTTAAAAATAATAAATATTTTTTTCTTACTTTAATTCGAAAAAAGAAACCTAACAGATAGGCTATCTCCTGAAAGTCTTGACTAAAGGAAGGACAAATACTGGGTTCTTTCTAAAATTCTATGAAGAACTCTTCGTAATAATGTTCTTTAACAAGACTTCTCTTCCTTTTGACTTTTGCCTTATCTTCCTCATTAGTTTCAGTATTATCTGATCCCTCTAAGAGTGCTTCTGCATTAGCTTCTGCTATAGGTCCTGGCTGTTTATATATAACTAAAGATACTAGATCAAAGTCAGGTTAAATATAAGCAACGCGTCTCTAACTACTCAGTGATTATATTACTTACATAGTATGCTTGAGTTAGAGCTAAGAATTTCTTATTACAATCTTCCTCTGTGAAGTAATTGGTATTATTTACTCAGTTGATTTCATTTGTAATATCTTTCTAAAAGTTTCTCTTATTATGGTTCATAGTTCAGTGATATTCTTCATTTTCATTTTTACGTTCACCAATAAGTATTTGAGTTTGTTCTTGCCCTACTATGCAGACATTTTAAATTTTATGAAAGAAGAAAGAGCTAAAAAGACTTGCTTATATAGAACATAATTGTAGTGGATCGACAAATTAGTGGGACTGAGTAAGACTAATTTAGTTTTATGTGCAATTAGCACTTTAATTTTTGTAATGATTAATGATTAATATAATGATCGAAAAAATAATAGTGGCTTAGTTACTGTGTAAAATCTGATTGGTTGATCCTTATGATTTGGGTTGCGAGAAGGTTGCGAGGAAGTATCAGAACTGACTAGAAGTCAAGATAATACAAATTTTTATATTATACATCAAATGCAACGCTTTTAACTAATCCTTGTTAATCACAAGAGATCCATGCACAGTGCTTACAACCAAACTGCATGTAAATATAAAATTAGCTTAGCCTGAGATATGACCCTATATAAATGTCCATATAATACATTGTTCTCAATACCATTTTAAATGTCGAGATTTTTAATGCATATTCCATATGTTCTTATTCTTGAACACAAACTTTTAGCATAAAATGCCTCATATAGTTCTCCTATCTCTTTTTCTTCAACATGAAGAGAATGAGAATGTGAGAAATGGTGGTATTTAAAAGGGCAGTATAGAAAATTTATATTTAGGTCGCTTATTTTATATTAATAACACAAAACTATATCTTCTAAACTATACTTGAAAATTTACAATTTTTTAGTAACTGCTAAGCAAGAATACATTACTGCCACCTCAATCATTTACCAGGAAATAGAAGAAGATCCTTGGATTTTACAAAATGATTTAAGAAGGGTTATAGACTAAGCTATAGGGTTTGCTAGTAATCTTTATGCCAAAGAATCTTTGCGCTAATTAAAACTTCTCTGAATACTTTCTCAGATTAGTTGTAAAGCTTTACTAATATTTTTTTCCACTAAATGATGATATTAACTAATCCACTTACATGAACAAGATCTGAAATAATAGTGTATTTATCCTATTAGTCTGCATATAAAGGAACTATTTCTTAAATTGCATAGAGAGTATATAAACTATTGCCTGTGTTTTAATCATTCCATTAGTTCTACCCTAAGAATATTTCTCAATGCATTAGGAGGAAGGGTGATTAATCTGTAAGATATTATGTAGTTATTTAGTATCACACAAGATTTTATTAGTATAATGATCACATTAAGATAATAACTTTGCATATGTACTGATAGCGCATGCGTTTTTTAATGATGAAATTATTACATTGCTAAAACTAACACATCATTTAATTATATTAGTTTGAGGTTGCTTTAAAGGAGTCTACAGTTTGCGTGATATAGAAGTAGTTAGAATGAATAAAAAAGACCTCTTAATTCTAATGAAATTGAATGAATTGAAAGGCAAACTCAAAAAAAATACAACAATACTGATTAACTAGCATCTATATTATAGTATAAATAATGTGAATATTTCTGAATTATTATGGATAGATCCTCTAGCTAGTCAAGTAATTTCTGATAAGTCAGAAATTGTAAAGAAGTTGTCAGACTAATTTAAGCATACTTTTATGAAGCCAGTATGACAATTAGTACCTTTATCTTTTCTGTCTGTAGTGAAAAGAAATGTAATGAATTCATTGTTAATTTCATTGAAAATTGTGAAATTGATCTTTCAAGAAAACTTATACATGATAGAACATAAAAAGAAGCTTGCAATAATCATAGAGAGAATTTTAAATACATTGTAAGTATTTTTTATGATATTTCAGAATATTTAGTAATTTTCTGCTTTTTGCTTTCTGCTTATATTTTTATTTATATTAGACGTGATTCTTGAAATAATCTCGCATTTGAAACAAATTTTGAGAAATTTCTGAATGAAGGTACTTACGTGACTAATGTGATAGTATTGAAGAATTTTTCTTTAGAAAAAATCACATTTGTTAGCAGTTCTGAACATTAAAGTAGTGCCAGTGCAGATAGGAAAGGTGATGGATGATCTGAGAGATGGCCAGATGTTATGTTTGTAATAAAATATAATGAAAAAAATTACAAACTTTTATTTACTGAATGCTCACATTTATTATTTATAGTGCAAAAGGAGAGAGATGATCAAGTGAAGCTATAACGCGAGGTTAATGATAGGATGTATTAGATTCATAAAATTTGCAAATCTGATAAGAACAAATTTGAGATTATTGGAATGCAGATAGCTGGAAAGAAATTATATTTAAGTGTCCTTATAAAGAATATGAGCAAGGTCCATCAATATTATTGTCTTTATGAATCAGAAATTCTAGTTCAACTATCAGATCTGTCTATTGTAAAAAAATTCATAGAATCATTACTGATATTACAAAATATTCTAATTGTTAATATAAGTATACTCTATAATGCACCTTTAAAAAGATCAAATCAAAATGTAGAAAAAAGCTATACAGTTTTTTCACCTAAGTGAGATAACTAGATTTTTTTTTGTATTTTTATTATATATCCAAATTCTACAACTTGTATTTTAGTATATTATTTTAGCATAGTAAAAATTACAGGTTATATTTCGAATATTATGTATTTTATTTTTTCTTATATCAAAGGTTAAGATAAAGAAAGTGGACTATTTTAATAAAATTTTCTTAGCAAAATTTGGACAACCTGAGGTTACTAAAATCACGTGATTTTTTATTTTTGAATATTTCAGTCAAGATTATGCAAGGATCTATATAAATTAAAAATTCTTCTATTCTCTTTTATAATTATGAAAAAAAAATATCATTTCGCAAGCCTTATTTAAGACAGAGAAGAACATATGAAGAACATAAAGCTGAGCTGAAGAAGAAGAACTTTCATTTTCATAATGAATTGCAAATAGAAATTGATAGTAATTGTCAGAATAAAAGACGAATTAATCAACTGGAGCGAGATTATTCCTAATGTAAATAAGAAATCCAAAATCTCAATAGAAAAATAAAGTATCTCAAAAATGCTTTAGAAGAAGAGATAGTAGAATTGAAATCTGAAATATCCAGCCTAAAAAGTCAGCTATACTCTCATGTTAAAAGTTTAGGATCACCTGATAAATTATAAAATAAATGGGTCTTTTAAATCAACTAACATTTTATTAAACTACAAAAAATCTTTTATGATTATTTTAATGAATAAAGAACAATTTTTTATTATTAAAAAATAAAAAAAACTATCAGTAATTTAATAATCAACATTTCCGTATGATCACATATTCATATTTATATCACATGATTTTTCGAAAAAAAAGTATCGAAACAAAATATATAAAAAAAATTTTTATTAAACTTTTTGTTATATATAATATAATAAAAAATTTTCTCAGCCTATAACACTATAAAATAAAAAACAAAATTAGTATTAAAGTTTTTCAATAAAAAAAAGTATAATTTTTAGTAAAAATGCAAAAAAAAAATATTAATTTATAATACTTACTTATAAAAATATAATAAAAAAATTACTTAATATCACGTAGAATATTCACAAGCTTTTATAACTGTCTCTATTCTACAATTCATACTTTTTACAAGCTTTTGGTAGATCTCACATGAAATTTCTGATCAACATTCTTGAAGAAGTGCTTCTAATTCTCTTAAATTTTTAGGATTATTTTGCTTATGTATTTTTCAAGTTTATTTTACAGATGTTCAATAGGATTGAGGTTAGGATTCTGTCCTAGCCATGATAACAGATTTATTTCTATTTTTTCACAAAAATCTCTTGTTCTGGCACTGGTATAGATTGGTGCATTATTCTATTGAAACAAATAATCACCATTTTCTTCTTCAAAGTTTTTCAAAAAAGGGATCACATGATAGCCAAGTATTTTTTCTATATATCTTTGACTATTAACTCAACTATCAATTCTTACTAAAGGACCTAACCCAAACCATGAAAAATATTCCTATATCATGACTTCATCTCTACCATGCTTCAAAGTTAGAACAAGGCAATTAATATCATATTTTTCTTTTTGAAGATGCCAAACTCTAATTTTTCTATTATTCTGAAATATAGTAAATTGAGATTCATCACTTTATACTATTTTTTTCCAATTGTCTATAATCTATAAACATCTTTCTCAAATCTAATTTAAGCGTATTTTTTGATTATATTCATTAATACAAGGCTTTCTTAGAGTTGTATAACTGTTATATCCCATTTTATACAATGTTCATTGTATAATACGTTTACTTACATTCTTTTTAGTAGATTCAATAAAATTTTTCTTATTTTTTCTTTAGGTTCATGTTAATTTTTATTAATAATAGCCTTGAGATGTCGTTTGTCCTGTTCAGTTAATTTTTTAGGCTGACCACTTTTAGAAGCAACAGTAACAGCATTAGTTTCATGATATTTGACTATTATATTATGAATGGTAGTTTTGCCATAGCCAGTTTTTTTGAAATAGTTCTTTCAGAGTTATTAGCTTTATAAAAG